AGTAGGTATTTATGAATATTGAACCAAGTTTTAGACACCTCAGATACCTATGAACAGACTGTACAATGCTGCCGAGAATTGCTCTGAGCTCGCCTTAAAGGCTTGGACGTAAAGTCAGGGAAACTTTGAACAAAAGTATTTATACTATGCCATTTGCCATAATTGTCATTATTTGAGCCATCGGAGTGTTGGCATAGCATATTTTTATATGATTCTTCTTAAGGTAAGCTCTTTGAGGTCTCTTTGGCACCAGTAGCAAGTTGAATAGACTAAGTCAGACCAGTCCTATACAATAAATATTGCGTATTCATGGGCATATGACCTTAGGATTGCATCCTGCAAAAGCATAAATTTAGGTTTGAGGATGTAAAGGCAGATAGGCATAAGGAAAAGAGAAGAGGACCAAAGTTCGGCTAAATTTATTATTTGCAGCAAGCCTTTTTAAGTAAACATTTTTTGCACTCACCAACACAAATTAAATGAATTTTGCGAGAAAAGATTGGCCGTTTTTGAGAAACAGTATTAGGAGAAAAGGAATCATTGATATGTTTAGACCAATTCAGATGCACATTTGCCTTGGCATTGATTAGACCAATGAATATAAACTCCTGCCAATCTTTACTATACGCTTTGTAGTCACGAGTCAAGTACAGGAGGTAGAAAATTTAAATATGCTATACAAGCGTTTCTTCAACAAGAAATGCTTTATGGTAGTCAGTTAATTGAGGGTAGCTCTCATGCATCGTTACAAGCTGTTTTGCAAAAAATGAAAACTAGGAATTTCTTATAAACAAATCATCATAAAGCTAGTGAAGAACGGCTCCAAATCGTGGCTAGATCAAAATACTATGAAAATAGTAACCATGACGATTCAAGAACGAAAGCTAAGAATATATATATGTGCCTGCATGATCCAGAGCCTTTTTCATCTTCAGCATTAAAAAAAATACCTCCATCTAAAAATAAATTGAAATTTATTTGATATAATTCCAGTAGAATACGCAGTCTTGGTAAAGGCCATTATAGTGAGATAATATCTTAAATAAAGTAATCCGTATCTCACCTAGACTATCAAAACTCTTGTCTCGGGGATGCTTCTCCAAGTCCCGGATGGCCTTGAATACGCCTTTCAACAAGGGAATATAGTAAATTCGAGTACACGTCGAGCAGACCTGCCAGTCTCCCCTCAAAAAGTCTTTATCATCGTCATACTTGTCAGAGAGCTCAAACTGATCGAAATAGATAAACTCCGGGTATCGCAAAACAAGAGTTTGTATTAAATGGCGAGGTTGATGTGGTGAAGAAGTGCAGGATGAAAGGTAGGGAGACAAAGGAACATCGCAGCAGAGAAGAGTACACATTTTTGCATCCTAGAGATAAAAATATGCTATGCGAATTAGAAGATAGGCATATTCCTCAAGTAAATTACTACAGTTCAATCTATATAAAGTTTAAAAAAGAATTTTAGTTCCAAAAGCTTTGAAGTAACAAAATCAGGTCAGATGTAAGCTCTAACGAAACAAGTTAATTATCAATAATCCCAAATGTAATAAACGAGCATGCTTTTGAAAGCCATCGCAAATGGGGCCCGATAATACTAATTGAATAAAAGAAATTAAACTAAAATAATGTCATACTTTAAATAAGCTTTCATATATCTTCCACAGCATTTAAGAAGCACTTTGCAGCTTCAATAATTTCAGATACGATAAATATGTTATCAGAAGCCTAGGGAGGCCCAGTGATGAGGGAAGATATGAGCTACAAACAAAACCTTTACTACTACAATACATGATCAGATTTAAAATTAATTTGGTCATAGTAAAAGAGCCTTAAAGCTAAAAAGAATAAGTAAAGCAATTCAGTACTCTAGAGTAACCAAAAATGATAAAAGTATAAGGCCCTAGCCATTCCACTAATATAATACATCCGGACAATAAGCTCTGGATACTCATCTAAACCAGTAAAAAAATTAAATAAAGTGGTCTGACCTCGTTTTGGCAACTTGATCGTGTTGTCAGGGCGACCTAGTTGGACGCACCTTGTCCAAAGTCATCTTCTATAGTAGTTAGCATAATTCTCAGCACCAGAACATATACTCGGTAACTCCCAGACGTTTTGCCGGCATCGTCAGTGAGCTTTGTCGTTGTCAGCATTAAGCCACAACTCGTCAGAGACAACTCGGTTCCAGACCCTGTGTACTCTTAACTCAAGCCTCCTGTAGCACGTACAATATCACCCAACCTGCAGACCATCTAGGCTCTGATTTCCATGTTTGTGGATATTAGGCATTGCCTTCACGCATATTCTCCCTTATTAAACCCATATACTGAGAAAACTGCTGCATCTCAAATGGATTATTAGTAAAATTGTTTATAATGCCGGATTTCTTTGACAGTTGTGATTACCCGTCTCCCTAGTCACGTGGGCCAGAACAGAGGAGTGATAGCATAACCGTTCCGGCAGAAATTTGCCCAA